TATTGTAGACAAAGGACATAAAAGGTATAACTTATAATTTTTAGTGACCTATTTTGCATTATAAATTAAAATATAATAAATCATTAGAGTATTAAAATATCGTAGATAATTAAAAAACAAAAACATAGGTAGAAATAAAATTTAGAATAGAATTTTTTAAATACATTGTTAGTACAAAGAAATTAAATTTCAAATAGAGTTGCACCTTGCTTAGTGCTTGCAAAAGATGACAAAATAAGATGTAAGAAACTATGAAGGGTCTATATAGTTAAAATTTTAATTTTCATGACATTGATAATTTCAATCGAAAGTAAAGAATATGAATAAATATCACCATTATATTGTCTATATCAAAAATATATTTAATTATGTAATAGACGTGCTTTTAATACTATTTTATTTTACTTTTTGTTATTATTTGTTATTTTTTATTATTTTTTATTTTGATTAGAGAACCAAATGACGAATAACAAAGATAACATAGATGCATTGTATGAAATTAGTTATAGATGCCAAATAGAACTTATCTACATTTGAAAATAAAAGTAATGATGGTTTTGTTTTTTACAAATAAAATAACTTTGAGTCTAGTAATATAATAGCCATTTATTAGTGCAAGAATTTCCTACTTATTTTTGTATATTAAAGTAGATGTGTTTGAGTTGTAATGAATGATCTTAGAATAGTAGATTGATGCATAAATGTTGGAATTAGATAGAACTCAGAGTTGAAAGTGTAAAATAGAAACATTGAGAATAGATTAAAATAGTTGATGTGATTTTAGAATTTTTAATTTGTTGTAATTAGAATTCATCATCTTTACAATAAATACTTACTTTTTAAAGTTATTTTTTTTATAATATTTACAAGTTGAATAGTAGATATTATTAGAATATTTATTATTTATCTCTTTTTAGATATTTTACCATAAAAGCTAATATTGTAAAAATAAAAGAAAAATATTATTTTGATTTTATTAGTAGAAAAAATTTCCTACTTATTTTTAATATGGATTGAGATTAAAATATATTTTTTAGAATTTTGCATTGCATATCTGACAACTTGTAGTATGTAATATTTGACAATCTTTTTTAGAATTAAAATACAAGTAGATAATATACTACTTTAAATAATTAATTTCTATCTCTAAGACATAGATAATACAAATCATACCATAAGTAATTGTTTTTTTAAAAATCTTTAGAATTTATCTTTATAAATAAAAAATTAAGTTAAAAAACTAACAATTTAACTTATAAAAATAAGATATATTTTTTTCAATATTTAAGATGAATTTAGATTTTTTTAATCAATCCGAATTATAATATAATTTAAAAAGTAATTAACATAGTATAGAAGTGATGTTCACTAAAAAAAAAAACTTCATAAAACTCAAAAGATGATACATTTATTGTTAAGAATAAAAATTCAAAGATTGTAATTAAACAAGTGAGATATTTTTGAAAGAAAAATGATAAAAATAAAATAAGTAAATATGTATATTTAAAATAAACTAAAATAGCTATTCTTAAAGAAAAAGAAACTAGAAATTCTTGAAACTAGCCTAAAAGTTAGAAAAGAATTGATGAATGTGAAGAAGACCTTATTTTTACCTCTATATATACTATCTAATTAAGAGCTAAGTGGCAACATTCTATAGAACCTCTAACATGTATCTAACTTGCAAGACATGTGTGTAATTTGTAAGATAAGCTTCCTATATGTGTACTACATGTCTAACTTGTATTATAAGTAGTCAACATGTATATCAAGGAATTAACTAGTTATGTAAGTTTTCAACATCTCAATCTCTTGTAAACACATATAAAATCAAAGATGTATGTATAAAGCTTCTAAGAAGCTTTTCTACAAGATATTATCATATTTATCTATTTTTACCTACTTCTATTTATTTATATTATCTAGATACTTATTGAAATAAATATTTATGTCTATATTATTATTCTTCTTTCTTTCCTTGCCTCTTTCTTCTCCCCTTTCTTCCTCCTTCTAAGAACAAGTTTTATGAAGAATAATGATCACATATGAAAGAAGTCCAAGATGCAACAAATTATATTTGCTACAAATTCTGATTTTTGTTCTCTTCAAAGATAGTAGATAGGTCCTTTCAGCTATTAATAGTATCTTATATTAGAGTGTAAAGACCACTATAATATTTGACCATTGTTAAAGCCTTTAGAACTTCCTTCAAAAAAAAAATTGAAATACTATTAGAAATAGTTCTTACTTTCAATAATATCTCTAAATATTGGGAGTTTCTTTCAAGGTTGTGATACTAAATGCATTGTATCTTGCCATCTATTTAAGAAAGAAAATGTTCTTAAGAATTTTCATGTCTATTTTGTTATATTAAAGATTGTGAATATTATAATATTTTATTTGATAATCCAATAAACAATAGCTTTTGAGTTAAATTTGCTAATTGTTGATTCTCCATATCTTTAATACTACAAATACAAAGAAATTACAATCAAGAATAGAAGATGGAATACTAGCTTTATTGAACCTTGTTTCTTTTATAGCAAATAATTACTTGATTCTTTATCTTGATTTGATAGATGTTGTTGATGAAAAAAATATATAAATTTTTTTGTTATATTTGAAGGATTCTTAATTGACTCCCATGTACATTCATAAATATCATATTTGCACCAATATATAAGTTATTCCAATTTATGTTTGTATCTCTTTGAATCTAAGACTTCTTTAAAATAAAATTCTTAATTATTATCCACTTTTATTAGAAGAAATGGCATTTCTCTTCTTTTTAATATATCTACTATCTTATATGATTTAAAAAGAAATATATTTAACTCAAGATGGATCTTTATTGATATTTGTAGGTGTAATCAATATGCAATTAGATTAATTTGTTTACTAAAAAAATGATCTAAATCCATAATGATACAATTTTTATAAGAATAATTAGTCTTAATAATACAACAAAGTAATTATACCTTATTGCAAATGTAGAATTGAGATTATTCTTTGTAATAGGTATTTGTATTGATTTTTTTTCATTCTTGAGCTTCTTTTAATTATGCATTTATTATTACATGTAACTTTAATAAAAGAATTATCAAATATTTTGTCACAAGATTATTAATTTTTAAAAAGTCAAAAGCATTAAATTGTGGTTGATAACCATAATCAGCATAGAAATGTGTTTATTAAATAGAAGAATATACCATGTTATAATAAAAAAGCCTTTTTATATGACAAAAAGGTTATCCAATTATCTTAACAATAGTTGACAATACATCTCAAATATTGCT